TACATATATTGCCAAATCTCGCCAAATCTATACTTATCTTCTACATATTACATATTACTTGTCTAGTGCTTCTCGATTCTTTGTTTTCGCGAAATAAATTATATATAATGTATATGCCTTTTCTTCAATTCTCGCGCGTAACCACGAACAATTTAGTCCGCGGCCCCGCGCTTTTCATTCTTTACATTACTGGATTTCTTTAGAAGTCACTAGTACTGTAGTGCGCATGCGTTAAAAGGCGGTATACCTAACAACACCAGTGATGTTCCGTGTGGGAATTATTCTCGCATGGGAATGTTCATGCGCATGCGTAAGCTGACGTCACAGTCGCGTGTCGTCTGCTTTCACGGACGTATCCGAAACCGTTAGCCGTTAGGTGCCCGTGCCGGCCGTACCCAGTAAAGGGCTCGAAGTCTTTACGAATTTTCGTGCATTTTTTGCAAGAGGTAGGTAATCATTGTTTAACAAAAAGCACAAATAAACAAATACGCAATAGAAAATTATGATAATACACGTTTGTTCGTTTCTCGCAACGAATGTTGGTATTCACGTAATAAATCAGCTGCAAACGTAAAACATATACATTTCTCTATTATTATTTGTATTAACAATTTATTCTATTTGTTCAAAGGAATTTTCTTCTATTTGTAACTCCCTTCATATTTCCTACCTTGCTAGGGGCCTAAAGATACATTCAGATCCTATCAAGATATATACATTACTGAGCAGCCATAGCGGTTGCTTAGTGCGCATGCGTCACTTTATTCCCACACGGAACATCACTGAACAACACTGATATCGGGTCGTCCGCGAGCCTCTTTATATACCCGCTTCGCGAGATTTTGAACGCGAGTTCGCGCTCGAGTTCGTCGCCCTCTGGTGGCGCGGCGTGAAGCTCCGTGCGCGCGTGCGTGGCTTGTGGCGCGAACCGTCTGCTCGACCACCACATGGGGGATTGAATTTAAGAATAAAAATAAAGAATACTTTTTATAAATATAAACAAATTAATTTATTAAAAAATGTATAGAAATCAAAGGTTAAATATGGATGATCTTATTAAAAAGAGAAAAAAAAGAGAAAAAGAGAGAGCGAGAGAAATTATCTAAATGCAAAATAAGAATTCAAGATCTGAATAGATCTGTTTTCCGTAAATCCGGATCTACAATAGGTGATTTAAGTCTTAAGGGGACGCTGGAGTGACGGTCGAACTTAATCAAGGTCGATAGTACAGACTTTTTTAAATTCCAAATTCGATAATAGTGACATCTTTCATTCATTTCTTATACTTATTATATATCGTTGTCTTGCTCAAACGCATTCATCTGTCCTTATCTAACATATTGCAACGCCATTTCTTAGAAAGAGATCAACTAAAATACTGTTCGGTTTCATGACTTCACATCAATTTTATTCGTAGTATACGAACGAAATTTTTGGCGACTCTTTTCTCTTATACCAAAGCCCCTGCCTCGTTTCTAAAAGCATGATTGTTCTTCGAGGTTTTCTGTAGGCTGCTGGCTACTTATTTTAAACGGGTAAAATTTGAAACTCTTATGCAGTACATATTGTGACGAGTTGACTGCAGGAGCCGGTGACAAAACTACAATTTTTAATTTTCTTTCATTTTTCGTATTAAATTGTAGCTGGCAGCCTGTGTTGTTGTCGATACTTTAATTGTGGAGAAGGACTTTTCAATCCATAAACACAATTAAGAGAAAAGAGTCTTTAAAAATTAATGGTAAAACAGGACACTGCAGCATCTCCTTAAGCCGTAAGAAATTGACCAATTACAGTTGAGTGCGAAGAAAATAATCGACTGTGATTCGTTCATTTCTTATGGCTTAAGGCTTAAAAATCTGTGTTGTAGATCCGGGGTAACTGAACTATTGTACGAGTTTGAAACTTAAAGTGAAATAGATATACATGTTTGATATTTGGTGAAAGTAAAAAAGAAAGTTCTAATTCAGAACTAGAATAAAAAACAGACCTAACGTGTAAATATAAAAAAAGAGATATACTTTTTCATTTATTTTTAAGTCAGTCGTATCGACATACAAATAAACTAGCTGCACCGTCAATTGGTATCACAGGGACAGGAAAAGTTAAACAAAAAGCCTCTCACATATCTCATAAGCTCTCGCTGGTACAGAGACAAAACGGTTGAGTGTGAGATATGCATTCCGGGTGGATGGAAAAACGTCGCGCGCCGGAATGGAGCGCGCAAAACATCGACAATATAGCATGTGTATCAGCGTGTATTCGCGCTCTTCGTTACGTCAGACGAATATCTCGTCGCGTGTACTTGTCCGATGGACGCCGTTTCCTTCATATCATCTACACCTCATATCGGCGCCTCCTTCAGGCGTTTGCGCGTCCTCGCGTTTTTCGCGTACCACCGTTTGTCCATTCTTTTTCTGTCTCTCTTATCCACGTCCGTTACGTCCGGAATCTTGCAGTTGCGAATTCCTGCACGAATGTAAACGCCGGCCGGGACGGCTTTACGAATTGTTTCAGTTTACCTCTACCAACTGCAGATCCTTTCTACGTTTCCTCTCTTCTCTCTCTCTCTCTCTCCCCCCCTCTCTTTCTCATGTATTCGTCCTTCCTCTTTCTTTCCCTCTTTTTCCCTTCCTCTTGTTTCCGTGTACGTGACCACCAGCCGTATCGCGGAAATTCCACATTTGTTTACGTTTTCCGGCGCCGTCCCTGGCAGAGCAGGAAGAATCGCCACAACGAGGGAAACGGCAGAAGGGAAAAATGTAGGGAAGTGAATGAGAAAGTTACATACACATTCGCGATTTCTATTAATATAGGATTAATTAAAGAGACATGCATTCTTGATGAAATCATACCAATTCCCATATTTATAAAGAAAGAAGAAATAGATAAAAAGAAACATCTTGAATGGAATAATATTTACATATAATAATATAAAATAAAGAGACTAATATTCTGTTGTATTTTTAATTCTCCAGATATTTTTTTTTTTTCAAGGATGTAAATCAGCCAATGCGAGCCAACACAGGTTAGTGTGTGAAATCGTATATTTTATATTCTTGAGAAAAATTGACAAACGTTTCAACCCTTTCGATTGGGTCTTTCTCAGTGTAAAAATAAAAATAAAATCGGTGACGTATAAATTTAATATAAAAGATGCGATGCGAAGCAAATTGAAGTATCATTAACATATATTCTTTTTTTTTGTTAAAGAAAGATTTATATTACATCAATCAGAAAAACAGATCGTAAAGAAAAAGAAAGGAAGATATCTGAAAAAATCTCTTCTTATCGAATTGCGCACTCTAAAAAATACGAGTGTAAATAGTATGCATTTAACACCGTTCGGTGTTAAAATAATTTTCACCATGTTGGTATTTATATAAAGTGAGACAGTACCGCTTGAGTGCAGACCTGCGAGCGAGAAAAACAAGTGAGCTCACGAGACAAAGAACAACTCTCATACATATAAACATAGTGAGAATTATATAACACTACGAATGATATTAAATTCACACCTATATTTTTAAGAATGAATATTTTAAAGATAAGATAAACAGATCAAAAATATTCTAATATCTTTTAATGCTCTGCAACATATCTAAAGCCCACCGAAATCGGTGAGAAACAGTTCTGACGGTTTCCTTATAAGAACAATGAAAACTGAAGCTACTTTTGTGGCATGATATTTGACAATTATTTTCTACTGGAAATACACAAGTCCTTATCACATCGACTAGGGTTAACATAAGAGGAGGCCTCCTATTGTGCGATGTTCGAAAGAGAGCCCGTAGAAGATTCTTCTTCTCGGCATGAGAAACACTCACATCAAGCGCGGGATGAAATCACACTGTGCGTATTGTTCCAAGACCTTCCTTTTGTTCTATCCCTCACGAACGGCGGAACACAGCCACTCAGCTTCTTGTTTCCCGGACGCCTTTCTTCTTTTCTTCCCTTCGTTACACGTAACCGCAAAGCGAAGTGGCGCATCGGGGAAATTCCGCGTTTCTGGCAGACCCTTTTTTAGCGTTGAGATTTCGAGTGAGAGAGAGAGAGAGAGAGGGGGGGGGGGGGGGGGGAGAGAAGGAGAGAAGCACCCTTTGAAAACGTTCGAACCGAGAGCTCTTTCGACTCGTGTAAGAAAGATAAGTGCGCGCATAATACGACTTAGAATCGCGTTGTAATTCTATTACAGCGATTACTCTGAGCTTGTTATCAGTGGCAAGCCAGGATCGTTACAAATTATCGCGCTCCTTGTATCTCATTCCATGAGGATCAAGAACACTCAGATCAGTACACACTCGCGATACCTACGGTAATAAAACGAGCTCTCATGAGACTCGCGGGTTTCTAGTGAACAAGGGATTTTGTTTTCCCAAACGTGCTCGTACGAGTATAAATGTTGAGTACAACTATACACACAAAGAGTATTCATGTATTTCTTCCTTCCTGCCATCATACCTTTTCTACCATCTCCACGGGGTTCTGGTTCCGTGCACTCTTTCAGAACGACGATCATTCCGCGGAAATATCACATGCGTTTTCGTTTTTCAATATTATCTTTGTAGCCAAGAAGATAAGCCAAGCGCGCACGAAGCTGCGCGAGTTAATAAGAGATTCCCAAAAGGACACGTTTGCAGCTTTATGTATACGTATAATGGGGAGTATGAGGACCTGGGTTCAAAGCTAGCGTTGAAAGATAATATAACTTTGACTTGATACGACACGGATTCTATAATTTCCTCGATATACGTCGTGAAAGCACTCACTCATTCTTATTATACACTTTAGTGAAAGAGCATCTATTACACCAACGGATTTCTAACGCAGCAACGCGTCAGGTCCAATACGCGAGAGAGAAGAGAAAATAATTTAAACGGTCCCCGTCGCCGAACTGTAATAGGCGTGGGCGCGCGAGTCGGTGCATTAATTCCGCAGTTGTCCAAGTTGTCTGGGAAGAGATACGTGACCGGAATGTCCAGCAAATAAAGTGCACTGCTCACCTGGATGACGGTAGCTAGGGGACTTTTGTTGGCCGGATAGTCGAGGCTGTCTCGATATGCCCAAGCGAGTGGTTCGTAGGTGCTGTGATTGGCCTGAAAAATAGTCCAGTCGCCGCCAGGAAGTGGTCCCCAGGCCGTTTCTCCCGATCTGGTTAATCGAAGAATGGGAGACGCCGCATTCAGCTGAGCATCCTGGAGGAAGAAAGAGCGACCTGATTTTATATGGCTCGCACAAAAGTTCCACTCCCGCTCGTCGTGCCAGATTTCCTCGCTTTTGGGAAAATCAAATTTTCGGAGGCATCACACGCGCTTTGGCGCTTTGTTAGAAGTGAATTGTTCAGTCCGCACAATTTTATATTCGGAATATTACGAGCAATAATATTTCTCATAAAATATGCGAGATTGCGAAATTTAATAATAATTACGTCAAAAATTGTTTAAAAATTCATAGGATATGTTAATAGGCTGTAAAAAGAAGTTAAATCGAAAATCCAGAAAACTATTTCAAATATTCCAAGTTTTTTAGATTGCATTTATTCCACGCGCTCGAAATAATTCTGATTTTATGTAATTTATATACCAGAAATAAAATTAGTCTAAAAGTTTATTTAAATGTTCATTTAAATATGTCGAGAAAATTGTTTTATGGTAAAATGATAAAATCGCTTTGTAGTTATTTAAAAAGAAGTGACATATTTCCTGCTCGACGAATACGAACACTATGAACAGTTTTGTTCCTTTTTCTGAATAACATGATCGTTATTCACGAGATATGTCACGCGTTCGAGGTACGGTCGATACTCTAAAGTTTTAAGAAGATTGTAACTTATTTCCCATTACGAATATTATGGCAATAAGATGCTGCGGATAGTTGATATCACGGAATTGGGTATTCAATAATTAACCATTAAAATGATTCAAGAATATATGCTACAAATTAACATAAATACGCAATATTCTCGAAACATATAACATTATCGATTATTTTATTATCACAGCCAGTACTATTACGTAGAGATCACGGTTTTTATTGCTTCCTTTTATGAGGGTTTTTTTCCTCGTTTTGATATCACTTTTCGCGATTCAAATTTGATTGCAACCATAAAAATTATCTCACAGATTTTCTATCATCATGGCTTTTTTAAATAATTCCTGATATTATTGATCATAAAGTACTTTTAATCACGATATCTTTATGTTTCAATTATTACATTTTGTTCTTGATAATGTAATTAAGAAATAAAATTGCAACAATTTATTCTTGTGTGAAAAAAATGTTGATGTATGTCTGAGAATTAGAGTTCGAATATCTAATGTTGAGAGACTGACCTTCAATCTAAGATTAGTATGTATAAAAAGTGGAAAGCCCTTCAGTTGAGCACCAACGAGACTCTCTTCTCCTGGAGGAGCAAAACCCACGATGCCAACTGAATATTCCCTGCAATATTTGTCGAGTAGCTCACGATTCCATTTGTCCATCTGCAGGTACTTGTTTAGATTCTCGAAGATCAGCACCCCGTATCGACCCTTGTCGAGGTTCGTCAACACCGGTAAAGACTTACCGGCCACCTCCACTTTGTACCTGAAAGCATATCGGCAATATTTCATATTTAATAGTCTATAAAATTTGATATTGTTTGAAAATTAAGAGAAAATTTTTTTATTATTGAAAAAGTAGAACGTTTTCGTCGTTTTCAACCAAATATATCAATTTATAACGGACGTATTCTATCGAAAAAATATTTTATTATATTTCACTCGGACATTTTTAATGTTTTTATGAGTTTAGGAATTTTCAATAAAAGAGAGAAATCATAAGTTTTCAATGTCGTAGCTTTTAATGTGGAACGATTCACTCGTAATAAGATACAGGTACTACAAATATAACAGTTTTATGGCGAGTGCTTTTCGAAAGTGCTATAATTTTTATGGATATATCGTAGTACCCTCTACATTTACCGTTTCTGGCCATTAAAACTGTAGCGATATATATTCCGCTAATCGCCTTCGGGGTCTCTGTGCTTAAGAATTGAACATAGAGGAATGTAGACTTTTGCGAACTCCACTTCAGTGCGCATTATTCTTACGGGGTTTATACATATATAAGTTAAGCGGGAATAAAAAGTTTTGTTAACGTGTTCTTTAAAATGGAATAAATTTTCCTGCCCTCTCTCCGTTCTTTCTCTCTTTCTTCCATCTTACCACTAGCTAATACTTCCGGGATCTTTCTCTCTCTCTCTTTTCCCGCCAACGTAAATATTTCACTGCAAATATTTAGACGTGAATGCCACTCGTGTAAGATACAGCCGTCAACGTGTGTTTTGACAATTTCAATCCGATGGCGTATCGGATGTTTAAAGTGCGAGCTTGTAGTAAATAGAAGTAAAATGGAATATCGATAAATAGAGTGTCCCGGTGGGGAGACCGCTGGTATTGTTAAACGATAAAACTGAGACACTTTATATCGAAATTCCATTTATGTAGTATCCAAAAAATGCTGCGCGAATAATAAAGCAATTACACGTATGATACACATTCTCTTCTATATATCGAGACATTTGCGAGATTTATTGCATTTTTTAAAAGTTATATCCCGACACCATTGAAGCTGTCTTTCATCGAATTTCGGCCTTATTTGAATTTATATATATATATATATATTTCTAGTGTTCCCAATGCAAAAAAAAATCGACAAGCCATACTTCTGTCCTGTGCGCGATAAAATAATTTTATTGCGGAAATAAACTGCCGAGGCTTCTCTCGTCGATCGTACCGATGGATTTCTCTCATATCCTGTCGCGCGTCGTAAAGAGATGGCGCGAATATCAGATTTATTGGAGATGTATTCCGATAAAAAAATTTAACAAAAAAAAGAAATAAAAAAGGAAGAAGAATGTACCGCTTGCTCAATAGCAAGCTGTATATTTGATTTTTTAGCAGAATTTTTTGGGGAATGGAAAGCATATTGTGTATTGCTCGTAAAGCTGCAATGAAATAAATATTCAATGGCATACGTAAAGTTACGCTGTTCATTATTTGCAACATCGAGATTAACGATAAAATTTTTTATTCTCGAACAAATCACGTCGTTCATTTCCTTTAATCGTTAATAGCCATATAAACTAAAATGACTATACATTAAATCGTCTATAAATAATTTTCCGTCAAATCGTCCATAATAAAGTCCGATGGTAAATGGTAAATGTTTGAGACATTAGTAAGCACGATAAATATTGAATGCTGTTTCGATTGGAGCGGTAACTATTCCATTACAATGAATATTTGCCAAATAGTTTCCAACCCCCGGCTCATAATACAACGTACCTATATGAAATTTCGTCGAATGAAAGGAAAAAGCACGGAAAGAAAGAAAGTAGTAGGGTAGCGTTCAACCAGTATGTAATATTGCTATTAAAAAATAGCAAACGATATTCAGATTATAGCAAACAGTTTTAGATTGTGCATGCAAACGTAGACATAACCGGAAAAGCCGCTATAGAGGTTTATGCGGATCAATATCAACGATAGTTTTGGATATCTCCTATTTGTGTTTAACATTCAGAACCGATTCTAATCGCGTATATACATCAACGCGTTAGCATGCCAGAACGGTAGATTGTCGTTATCCGAATGCAAAATAGTCTTGATATCGTTGATCTATAAAATATCTTGTACATCGCATTTGTTGGTAAAGTATTATAATTGCGATTTTTTGGCGAATTCTTCACTAATGATAATAAAAATAACTTTATTGAAGTACGAGAGATATTATACATAAAGATAAATATATTGGAGAGCAGCAACTCAAGAGACATCAATAATAATGATGCTTACACAAACTTATAAAGTTCTTGATATAATCAAAATTATATATAAAAATATATAAAAAATCTTATAAATAAAAATAACTAACAATAATATAATAGTAATGATAATCAATATTGGTGCATTATTGGTAATGTGCAGACTGCAGTTTTGCTCATGCCATTTGAGTGTACTATATATAGTGTTCAATTATATCAATTTGAGTTATTTTTAATTACTTTTATATAGCTCGCCAAGTTGCGACAGCTCCTACTCAATACGTCATTAATTTAATTAAAACAATGGAGTTAAACAATTTAATTCAAGAAAATGTATAAAACGGTTATTTTGAAACTGACCACAGAAATAGATTGATTTACATTTTGATATATATGGAAATTATAAATAATAAAATGTTATTTAATTCCAAGGATTGAGATATCTGTGCTTCTTTAATATCTAACAATTTCGTCTCGTCTTTTTGCTTTTTAATTTGGCTAATTTTGTACATTGCGATAAAGATTATTATTATCATAGTACAAACATTCAAACAATAAGAACTCCAACTATTGTTAATTTTTATTTTTAAGAATTCCAATACTATAGAAATATGTTGAAAAATTATGTATATTAATACATAAATGTTAATACATATTTCAATTTATGTACATCAAGTCTCTGATTTCGTAGGTAGTTACTTATTGATGTAGTTAGCGCTAGTTTAGCACTTAGACTATTAATGCGTAATTTACTGGTTTCGCGCAACAATGAAGATAAATGACTTCAGCATGGTGCAACGACACGGCAAACCGACGTGTTCGACCGAGTTAAGTTAAGGGCCGCGAGTAATCCGTCCAATGTAATAGTTTTATAATTAGGTAAATGTTGTTATCAGGCCGCACGCTTATAGCCGACTTTATTTTCGCGTTAACGGATAGCGTTGACGTGGCCTCATCGCGGTCGGCCGTAGCGCGAGTGCAGAAAATTTGAGTTAACTAATGAATGCCGGGTATAATTTAGCGACGTAATCGGTTCGATAATTGGTAACCGCCCATTAACGATCAGTTAACCAATTTACGAGGCTAACGAACTGTCATAACGAACCACCCTGCGATGCCTTTTGTTCTTGGCTAACAATCGAGAGTTCGCCGTCCAAGCGCAACGCGCACCCACGCGTCACGCGAAGAATCCGAAAGCGAAATTCAGAAGTATTGATCCTCGCACACTGTCCCCAATCGCGAAACGATGAAGGGCGCGTACGTGCCGGGGATGATATCACGGACTTCAAAATTTCTACATCACGGCACCGGCAGTTTCGTTAATTATATTTCGAACTTCGTGTCCTTAAAAGTTCATCCCGCCTGCCCGATACAGAACTTTCCTGTCTCGCCTGGGCGATGAAGATTGAATTAAGTTTAATTAATACGGAATGGGAAGATAAAATTTTGACGCGGTGTCTTGATATTAGATATGTATATTGAGTAAGACGCTATTGATCTGAGACGAGATAGCTGAGAGTTTCTATAGTTACTTGTTCCACTGTCTACGTTCTCACTGGCTTCGTTAACATCCACTGCTCTAAAATTGAATGGACTCTTTAGCCGGAATTGACGTTAAAATATTACATGGAAGGAACAATTTTGCCGAAGTCTAAAAATTTAGCTAGACACAAATTAGAAAATAATTTTATTTAAACTATAAAAATAATTATGTAGGATTTAAACTAATTGCTAAAATGTTCAAACTTTTTTGTCACAAACGTTTAAACGTTTTACATAATTATTTTGATTCAACACAGTTATTTTCAGGTCTGTATCTAAATTCTTGATCAAAGCGGTTCTTTCTGTGTATTTTAAATTTATTGATCTTTCACAATTAATCGCTCTTACCAAGATTATATAAAATAATTTTCTTTTCTTGCTTTTGTTTTTTTTACTGAAATTAATATAAATAGAAATACAATTAATAATATAATTTTCTGTGTTATTTATGTAATGCAAGCACAAAGTACAGTACAGTTAATATTAAAGTAAAATAATTATCATTTTAATGACTTATCAAATCTTAATCAAAGACTGCATCTTCCTAAAGTTTTAAAGAAAGGCAGTAAATTGCTTCCGGTAGTAAATTGCAATATCGCTACTAAAGGAAATTAGCCGTATGAAAATGAGACTACCACCCAGCTAGTTTAATTAACCAGCTGTAATTTTATCTTAAGTTCAACTTATTAAAGCAAGGCGTATCAACGTCGAAACAGATTCTTCAGTATCGTTTAATCAAGTAAAATGTTGCTCAGTTTCCCGGCGAATAATGTAAAGAGCAAAAAGCGTTCTCTCTTTAGATTTTCTTCTTGATTTTATATACTTATGACCGCGCACTACGCTCTTGACCATTTTCAGCGTATTAAAAAACATTTTATAAAGTTATTATGATAATACCTAACTCGTGGCGTTTCATTATCCGTGGGCGAGACTAGAAATTCACCGAGCAAATTTCACGTTAAAATGCAGATGTAATTCGCGGAAATTCGCGTGCAGGGTAGATATTACAAACGCAAAGTGCCGAGCGGTCCGAATTGTAACGACGTACAAGGGCCCAGGTACGTTTTCATTAAGAAGAATAATTTAATTAAGCGGATTAAATGACAGGATTGGATAACAGCGTACGCGAATCTAGCACAAGTGTGCAATCGCAGATCGTTCATGGCAGTTATCGTAAGTTATCCCTTCAAAGCCGAGATGCAAAAAACGATAAGTAACTTTACAGGATATATATATG